CTCCAAACAGGGGACGGGGCACACGACAGGAAGGAGGGTCAGGACACCTGGCAGGGGGGCCGGACTTGGCTACACAGCAGTAAAGATGGCTTAAGCTGGCTGTCATGCACACATCGGGGAGAAATGTGGGTTTCGTGGTTTAATGAGGTTAAAAGCAGGCCACGTCTTAGCTCGAGCAGCTGGTGGGGTGAGTCAAGCTGGGAGAAAACAAATGGGAAGACCAGGACCTTGGACGAAGATCTTCATCTCCTCCTTAAAGTTCTCCGTCCCCCAGCGCTTGTTAATGTAGGATTTGCTGCTGGGGAGAGAACCGACTCTCCGACTTCATAAATGTCAATGAGAGCAAACTTAATAAGCTGGGAACAATACCATTCAGAAGTAATTCCTTCATTTTGCACTATTATTCTTTCTTTTCTATTGCAAAGCATTTGAAATGCAAGGAGTTATTGTTATAGCAACAAAAGGAAATGACTAACTGGTTGATTACTGATGAGACAGTGCTTGGGGAAAACAGAAGAAAGAGCCTAAAAGGGAGCCGCCTGCGTTTTCAGCTCTTTCTGTTTCTTTTCCTTCAGTGTGAATGGCAGAACGCACCTGCGTTCTCCGCCACACGACAGTTCCGCGTTGTTGCTGTACTGTCTGTATTTGAATATCGCTACGCTGTGGCTGTGGGATTTGTATGAGACTTTCACAGAACACGAATGCAAGCAGGGCGGTTGCCCCCCAACATCCCAAACACCGTGAAGTTACCGTGCCAGGCATAAACTGCAGAGCCACGCGGGGTATTTTCTCTTCCTTCCTTCCAAAGTTGCTTTTAAAAATAGAATCCCTGCAAATCGTCCCTCTTTCACGAGAGACTGATCTGACAATGGTTAAGAAAGATGTTTCCATTCCACAAAAGGAAAAGAGAAACCAGCACCAGGCGCCAGAGGAAGACGATCAAGTGTGTGTGTCGCTGTGACTTCCTTGTCAGGTTTCGGGAGGGATGAAAAGGCCCCTGCCCCTACTCAGAGGCTGTGATGCGTATGTGCCTTAGGAGTCAGACAGCACCGTGGTCCTCTCTGCTTCCCCCCACCTCAAGTCCTTTGGGAACAAGGAAGGAATAAGACAATAATACGCAAACCGTGTCGTGTGACTTGAACAGGCCACAGGCAGGGACGGTGACAAACTCATTGCACAGGAAAAGGCTTGTGAGATGGAGCAGAGACTCCTTCTAGGGGCCTGCTGGGGGTGGGGGTGCCCGAGCATGGAAATTAAGGAAAATCTTGAGCCCCTTCAGGGCGGTTCCAGGCACCTGGCTACCTTGAAAAGTGAGTGGGAGTAACAGTGGCCTCCAAGCAAGCCGAGTCCCAAGGTGTGCTGGTTCCTGTGGAAGTTAAAAGATGGCATTTTTGTTTTTTTGAGACAGAGTCTGGCTCTGTTGCCCAGGCTAGAGTGCCGTGGTGTCAGCCTAGCTCACAGCAACCTCAAACTCCTGGGCTCAATCGATCCTCCTGCCTCAGCCTCCTGAGTAGCTGGGACTACAGGCATGTGCCACCATGCCTGGCTAGTTTTTTCTATATATATATTTTTAGTTGTCCAGATAATTTCTTTCTATTTTTATAGGGACGGGGTCTCGCTCTTGCTCAGGCTGGTCTCAAACTCCTGACCTTGAGCGATCCGCCTGCCTCGGCCTCCCAGAGTGCTAGGATTACAGGCGTGAGCCACTGCACCTGGAAAAGGTGGCATCTTAACATACATTCTTGAGTTGTTTCCCAGAAACCTCCACTGCATGAGAACTGCAGATAAGGGAGAACTGAGGAATTCAACTGACAGCTGGCCTGTGGTCTCAATTTCTCCCTGAGGGGCCTGGCGAGAGTCACACCCATCTTAGCGTTCCTTTCCACTGATCAGAGAATTCCTGAATCCACCTCCACCTATAATTCGTAGGCCTCCACTTCACGAGATCCCACCTTTTTGGGCCAAGCCAATGTGCAACCTCCATGTGTTTATTGGCAGTTCTGTCTGCTACTCTGCCTTCCTGAAATGTGATTTCCATGCTTGGCCCCCACCACCTCCACCCCTGGCAAGGCCCTAAAAGGGGTCCCTGCTCCATCTTAGGGATTATCAACCTAAAGGAAAATACTGAGACAAAATTAACACAAGTAGAGAGTTCATTTGGGCCAAATTCGAGGACGGCAACTTGGGAGACATAGATCCAAGATGCCCTGAATGTATGCTGAGATCTGCAGCAGTTACAAATGGGTTTTGTGAACAAACGTGAATCCTTGAAGGTGGATCCCAAGTGGCTAACTGGGCCTAAATTTAAAATACAGCCAAGTGGCCATTTGCTGCCTCTGGGTCACATGGTACTCTGAGTTCCCCAAAAATCCACATCTCTGTTTAACTTTGGGATTTCAGGGCTCACTTGAATGACAGATCAGAGCTTAACTGCCTCAGCCAATCAGGACCCAGCAGTATCATCCAATCAGAACTCAGTGACTTTCAATCCTTCATTTGCATAAATGGACCTGATTGGGAACCTGAGCAGGAACTTTTTGCAATAAAACCTGTCCTTTGGACAGCAGGGATTTACCCTGGAGGCTGCCTCTCTCTGGTTTGGGTGCTGTTTGCTGGAACGGAGTCTCCTCCAAATTCTTTTCCAGAGCACATTTGTTCACAGTCTTTGAAGGAAAAGGGAAGCTATTTCTAAGTTGTTTATCAAGAATTTATGTTAAAATAACATCAGCTATTGATTAGCTGTACATTATTGTTTGGATCACAAATTCCAGGGCCATGAAGATACAGGTCAGGAAAAAGGTGCTTTCAAATGATGCCCCTGGGGCATGGGTGGGGGTTGTGACGTCAATCCATGCTCCTGTCTCTCCCAGCCCCGGTGAGTTTTGTATACTTGCTATACTTCGTTTAGCTCAGACTGCTCCGAGCTATTTCTCTTCTCCAGGTGCAGTTATGCACCTGGCCCATGCAGTGACTCCTAATTGTCTTGGGATAAGGGAATGGGGCCCCTGGGATTGTGGAGCTGCCTCTTCCGAACAAAAGGAGAGAGAGGAGCGGGGGCGGGGGGACACTTGAGGCAGGACCCTCAGGAGAGGACTGAAGTGAGGAGACAAACGAGAGAGGGGCGCTGGCGGCCTGACCACTTGGGCTGGGGGTGGTGGCCCTGTGATGCCTTTTGAAGGAACAGCCATCAGAGCTTGATGAAGGACCACATGTGGGGTGTCCAAGAAGAGAGGAGCCCGGATGACCTCAAGGGCTTGGATGGGGCAGTGGGAGAAGGAGCAGAGGAACCCCAAGTGGACCGTGGAGCTGGCGCTGCCTGCTGAGACCTCCGCCAGCACCTGTCAGGCAGGCAGCGAGGCGGGAGCCTGGAGTTGGGGAGTGAGAAGAGAAAAGAACTTTAATCTGAGGACCTCGAGTCCTTTTAAATATCAGGCCCAGAAAGACATTAAAATAAGACAGCAATCAGGGCCCACTGCCCCCTGGAGCTACGTACTCACCTCTTGAAACGGCTTGCTACTGCCAGGAGCAGCTATTAAGATAAATTAACCTCATAATGCTGCACCCGACACTATAACCCACACCCTGTAGCCTAACAATTACTAGCCAATTACTAATCAACGTTATTTCTCTAAACCAATGAGAGCTCCCGACAAACAACTTAGTATCAACCCACTCCCTGTCCCCTTTGTTTGCCTTTAAAAAACTGCTTGTCACAAAGGCCACAGGGAGCTCACATGTGAGGTCTAAATCTTCCTGGCAACTGTCCTCACTTTGGCTCAAGTAAACTCTTTTTTATTTTATTTTATTTTTTATTTTTTGAGACAGAGTATCACTGTGTTGCCCGGGCTAGAGTGCTGTGGCGTCAGCCTAGCTCACAGCAACCTCAAACTCCTGGGCTCAAGCGATCCTTCTGCCTCAGCCTCCCAAGTAGCTGGGACTACAGGCATGTGCCACCATGCCCGGCTAATTTTTTCTATATATTTTTAGTTGTCCAATTAATTTCTTTCTATTTTTAGTAGAGACGGGGTCTCGCTCTTGCTCAGGCTGGTCTCGAACTCCGCCTCCCAGAGTGCTAGGATTACAGGCGTGAGCCACCGCGCCCAGCCTCAAGTAAACTGTGTACACCATATTTTGTGCCTCAGCCTCTTCCTTTTAGGTCGACAGGAAATATTAATTGGGGACCATCAGGGTATGCACCAGGTGGAAAGAGGAGGCTGGATGGATCACGGTGAGTGTGGGTGAAAAGAGGTGCAGATCATGGGGGTGGGCGCAGGTGGGAGGAGGCAGAGAAGGTGCGGCCAGAAAGGTGGGCAACAGACACTGGCCTGGCATAGACCCATCTCCACAACCCCACCTCACGGAGCTGCTCGCCCCCAGTCGGAAAGTGGTGATTTGGGAAGTGAACAGTGGCCCCTCTGGGGGTTTCTGGGTCTCCATCCTTAGCCTCCTGATTGTGTGGCCGGGTCTGGACAGGTCCAGCACGCGTCCCTTGGGGCAGGGGCAGAAAGGCAGCGTTTGGCCCTAAACCACCCAAATCTTGGTCACAGCCCCTCCTCCAGGAAGCCCTCCCCTACTCCGGGACTGCCCAGCCCTGGTCACAGTCGGGTTCTGAGCCCACCTGAGGCCCCCACCTCACTCCCAGGAGGTCAGCGCCTGGCCCAGGGGTGCTTTGGAAGCGTTTGTGGAATAAGCTTCCTCTCAAGTCCCCGCACATCTCACCTCCTCCGGCCTCACTTTGCACAACCGTAAAATGGGGAAAGAAATCGACAAGGAAAGTGCCCGCCCCAGCGTGGGCGCCGGCCAGAGGGACAGGCGACCCAGCGCCAGGGGCCCCGAGCGCACGCCCCGCTCTCCCGGGCCCTGTCGCGCTGTCGCCCGAGCCCAGGCGGTCTCCAGGGCGGCCTGAGCCCTCCGGCCACCTCCGGCCAGGTAGGAGGCGGGCGGGGGCGGGGGCGGGGCCTGCCCGGGAAGCTACGTCCGGGGCGGGGCCAGGTGAGCGGCGGGCCGCGCGGGCCAGGTGCGGCGTCGCGGGGACTGTGGCCAGGTAAGGCGGGTGTCCGCGTGGGGAGCCCACTGGGGCCGTGGCGCGGGAGGGGGCGCCGTGGGCTCTACAGGTGTCTGCGGCGGCCGCACAGGACCCGCTGCCCGGTGGGGGGACGCCGAGGCGGGCGCGGAGCCATGCCAGGCGGGGCGGGGGGACGCCCGGCCGGCGCGCGGCCTACCCCTTCCCTTCCCTCTTCCCCACCCCTCCTCTGGCTCCCCCTCCCCTCCCCTCCCTACCTGCAGCCCCTTCCCCTCCCTCACGGTGCCCTCTGCCTGTGTTTGGGCTGGTCGGGCTGGGCCGTCAGCACAAACTTCCGCAGGTCGTCCTTTCCCCGCCTTAATGGGGTCTCCGGTTGGGCCGGGTGGGCACATCGTGCAAGCCCCCCACCCCTCACAGCAGACCTGAGAGTGGGTGGTCTTTCCCCCGTCCCAGATGAGAAAACTGAGGCCAGAGCAGGTGCTGCACTGACTCACACTCAGGGCTGGGGGTCTGGCCAGCTCAACACACGGGGGATGGACCCCCAAGAGTTTATCGGCCAAACACTTAAATCAGCCTCCAAAGTCGCCAGTGAGCGGGGAGGCCCTGCCTGGCTTCTTTCACTTTTCTTTTTTTCTCTTTTACTGGCAGCCCTCCCTCCCCCAACCAGAATAGTTCAGAGGGGCTCCTCTTTCACTCTTGTTAAACCCTGGCGCGCGCCCCTCCCTCCCAGGCCCAGATTCCTTGGAGGCAGGGTCAGGTCACCGTCGCTGGCCTGGGGAAATTCCCTGCTGCCTGGGGAGGAGCGTCGAGGCCACTGGACGGGGAACTGCAGACCCACGGGGCAGAGGGCCAGAGGGTGGAATTCCCCAGAGTGGTTGGAGTGGTTGTTTGGCGGGTGGGGACGGGGCTTGGCAGTCTGGTGGCTGCAGACTTTGGGGTGTTATGGCAGAGGCTGTGTGGATTGCAGAGGACGCTGTACTGTGCCTCCGCTTATCTGTGAGGTGCGGTGTTGACATTTGTCCGGGTGGGAACTCAAAACTTAATTTAACGCTCTGCAGTTTTGGAAGTCAACGTCCTTTGGTTGTCCTCTGTGTCGGCAGATTTAGGATCATGTTTGTGAGCTCCTCAGTTAATGTAGTGACTACACATCCCCCCCAGACCAATACCAGGATGAAGAGGGCCATGGGCCTGAGCCCCGCTGGTCCTTGTGGACAGCTGCCTGCCCACTCTGGTCCCTGCTTCCAGGGGCCCAGAGTCTGGTCTCTGTGTGATAAAGAAAAGCCAGGGGCTTGTGGGAGGTCAGGGAGGGCTTCCCGGAGGAGGAAGCCATTGAGCTGGAAGATGGATGGGAGGTAGGCAGGGAAGGGTGTGCACCTAGGTGGCTAAGGAGAGTTCACATGTGAGGTGCAGGTGGAAAAGCCCTTGGAGTACCTGACAGGTGGGGCGGGTGGAATTTCCTTGGATAATATCATTGAAACTTACTTGACTAAACATCTCTCTCATGTCATGGCCTCTGCCTGACAAGCTAGTTTCAGGCTGAGGCGGTCCTGGGAGTGTCATAGATGGTAGGTTTAGAGGTGGCTTCAGTTAAAGACAGGACAGCAAGGACCTTATGTCACGCTGGAGGTGCCTGACGTTAGTGTCTTTCACCATGTTAAAAAACCCATCCCGTTCCCTGATTTTACCCTCGTTTTACTGATAGGGAAACCGAGACACGGGCAGCACGAAGGTGAGGAAGAAATGCAGGAGCAGTCAGGAGACCTAGTGTTTTAGATGGTCACTTTCCCTCTTGGGGACTCAGCCTCCTCCCCTGCGGAGTGCCCAGTCAGCCATCCCTCTGCACGATGGTCTGAGGGTCATGGTCTGAGGGTCGCTGTCCCGAGTGGCTCTCAAGCCCTCGCCCTTTTACAGAGGGGGCGATGGAGCGGGGGAGGGGGAGGTCACGCGGCCAGAGACTGGACAGCCAGGCTTTGGAGCCGCTGCGCTGCCGCTGCGGCGTCCACACCATCCCGCCGTTCCCCCCCCAGCGCTGCCTCCCAGCGCACTGAGACGTGGCTCCGGGCGGAAGCGGCCATCCGCTGTGACACAAGAGACGTCCAAAGCCCGCCAGAGACCACCCTTCAAATCTGGTGAAATTAGCATGAGGATATGAAAGTGATGTTTTCGATTTCTTTCCAAATAAATTATTTAATTTTTCCCCCTTCAATCCTTTGCTTAAAATTGATGCTCAAGGAAGACTCACCGTGGGTGTCCAGATGCTTCCGGCCTCCTGGGGTACACGTGAGGGGGTGGAGGGTCACCCCTGAAGGTGCGTGTTCGGGGCTCGTCTGCGGGGAGTGCATCGCTCCTGCCCCAGCCGTCCTTAGGTGGAGTCTCCCTGGGACTTCTGGCTGCTACTCCTGCCTGGTTTCTGGGTCCCCGGAAGGCAGGGGACCTGGCTGAGTGACTCTCCCCAAGTCAGTTCTTTGGGCCCCCATTTTCTTGCCTCTCACATGGGCATCAGAAGCCAGCAGGCTGTCGTGAGGGTCAGGGGAATAATGTTGGTGCTCAGCGGCGACAGGGCAGGCAGCGTGGTGGTTAACAACGGGGCTCTAGTCCCGCCTCCCTGACCCTTGACCCCTGAACCCTGGCTAGGTGATCTTGAGTAAGCTGCTAGCCACTCTATGCCAGGCTTTCCTCACTGTAAAACAGGGCCAGTTATTACCTATCATAGGGTCGTTGGGAGAATCAGGTGAGAACGTACGCAAAGTGCCTGAAACAGGGCATGGCACCTTTATTCTACATGTTTGCATTTGTTGGTGTTAGTCCTACCTCCCGACCTCGGGAGAAAAACTTACATGGGGAGACAAGTGAAGAATGAACTTCCCTTGGAGCCTGTTTTTTCCATGCTGAAGCCCACGGCCAAGCAGTACTTCCTCCCGCAGCCTGGACAAGCAGGTCAGCCAGCAGTGAATTGTCAGCTGGAGGCGAGTGGAGTGGGGTGACTGTCTGGAGGGAACTGGTTGGGTGGGTCAGGATTCCAGAAACTGCCGGGAGCTGCTCCTCCCTCCCCCCACCTGGTCATAAGGTGAAAGCCGGCAAAGAAATCCTGAAGGGCTGCGGGTTCTCGGGGCTGCAGATTTGTCATCTGTGCAGGTGGCTGAAGCCCTGGGGCACCCAGGTGGGGCTTCTGGAAAATGCCTCCTCTCTGGGCCTTGCTCTTGGTGCCTGGAGGCCCCTGATGTGAGATTCTCACCCGCATCTCTGCAGGGGGTTGCCACGCTTGTAAGACCTTGCATTTTATTTTATTTTGTTTTTTATAGAGACGGAGGTCTCGCTCTTGCTCAGGCTGGTCTCGAACTCCTGAGCTCGAGCAATCCTCCCACATCTGCCTCCCGGAGTGCTGGGATTACAGGCCTGAGCCACTGTGCCCAGCCCAGACCTTGCATTTTATATAGGGGGGTTTATTTGTGCATTTAAGTGTTTTTTAATTTACGGAGAACTTCAGACACTCCAAGGTACTTCTGAAGCGTGTCTGATGAGCCGATCTCCCGGCACAGCCTTGGCCACCCTGCTGCCAGCTGGGCCTGTGCTCACCACTGCCGGGTCCCCACACCTGTGTCCCTTCCCTGTTCCCTTATCACTTTAGAGCAGTTCCCGGACCTCATACTCTATAAGTATTGCAGTGTGAATCCCTTTTTTAAAAAATTAATTATTTTCTCCCCAACTTTATTAAGGCATTATTGACAAATAAAAATGGTATGTGTTTATGGTGTTCAGTGTGACATTTTGATATACAAATGCATTGTGACATGGTTAAATCAAGCTTGAATCCCTTTTTTTTAGCACGACTGCAATACCATTATCACGTTTAAAACAATTAGCAATAATTCCTTAATTTTGTCCAATGCCCAAATTCCCAATTGCCTCAAATATCATAATTTCTTTTAGGTTTTGATTTTTTTTTTTTCTTTGAGACAGAGTCTCACTGTGTTGCCCCGGCTAGAGTGCCGTGGCGTCTTCCTAGCTCACAGCAACCTCAAACTCCTGGGCTCAAGCAATCCTCCTGCCTCAGCCCCCCGAGTAGCTGGGACTACAGGCATGCGCCACCATGCCTGGCTAATTTTTTCTATATATATTTTTAGCCAATTAATTACTTTCTATTTTTGGTAGAGACGGGGTCTCGCTCTTGCTCAGGCTGGTCTCGAACTCCTGAGCTCAAACAATCCACCCGCCTCGACCTCCCAGAGTGCTAGGATTACAGGCGTGAGCCACCTCGCCTGGCCTGGTTTTTTTTTTTTAAACAAGATCCAGATAAGGACCATGCATCGCAGTTGGTTAATCTGTCTTTTAAATCCCTTCCAAGCTTTAGCCCCCTAGAGAGTGTTTTTACTTAACTTCTGTGTCTGTCGTGACAATTACGACGCCCTGCATCTGTGTTGCCACACTGGTCACGCTGTTCAGTCTTCGTCACAGCCTCTTGCTGTTGGTGGGGAAGGCTGTGCCCACTTCACAGATGAGGCGGTGGACCAGTCTCACTGAGGTGGCACCGTGTGTTAGAGGTGGCCTGGGCCTATAGCTCCCTCCTGATGCCTCGTCCCTGCTGCTGGCTCACAGCCGCTGGTACCAGGCAGGTGGCCTCCACCTGAGGTACAGAGGGGGTCTCTGGACGGGTCACAGAGGGTGTCTGAACAGGAAGGAGGCACAGGGTAGCCTGAGTGTCCCCTGGGACCTGTGGCACTTTTCTTTGGCCGCAATGAAGGAAAGTCTTCAAATGGCCTGGCTAAAGTGTAACCAGATTTATGGGGTCCCTGTGAGTCACACTTTAATTCCCAAGAAGGCCGTGAGGAGCTACGTTTGAATTAAGGCTGAGTTAATTGCACTTCAGCAGTGATGATAACAGACACCGTGCTGGGATCACTTACGTGGGGCGGGGCAGCACGTGCAAAGGCCCTGAGGCGGGAGCAGTGTGGTGTGCTTGGGGGGCAGCCCGGAGGCCTGTGTGGCAGAGCTGAGGGAATGGGTGGCGGTGGCATGACGTC